TAAAGTGTGAAGCTGGGATTTGAACACAGAATCCACCCTCTTGACCATTACTCATTCTACCTCTGTTGGTACAATGGAATATTGTTGATACAATATTGGGATTGAGTTGGAAAGGTAGGAAATTCAACCATAATTACCTAAACATTAACAACTTCATTTTGTGTCTCACTTCAGCATCTCACATAACCCTCCTTGGGCCCATTTCCTTTGCCTAGAGGAAAGGTCAATATTGTGGTCAACCTGTGGAAAAAGGTGAAGACGACCTGAGACCTCAGCCCAAAAGTATGCCCTGTCAGATTGGCAGTGTCTAAGGGTGCGAGTTGAAATGCAGGTAGCATACTAGCCAAGAATGTCCCATCCTTGATCTAATCTAGTATTCATTCTTGATCTAATCTAATCTCCATCCTCTCCATCTAATCTCCTTGTTGTACAAACAATGAACTGTTTAAGGCCACATGCCAAACCCCACCAGACCTCAGGTCTTCTTGATTCTAATTTTGCCACTTTTTCTATAAAGTCCTGCAGCCTTCTTCTTGTGAAGCAACATCCTAACCCCTTTCCCTATTTAACACTATTGCTGTGAATAGCCAAAATGATAATGCTCATGAAATGTCACTGAAATCCATAAAGCCTGATTTTCTAGCAGGGGGTTATAAAGATAAGCAGCAATATCAAGCCATTCCTTACTTGTGAGTTTTATCTTTCGGAAAGTTTCATTTTGAAGGGAATTATATAGAACATTTCTTCCAGTAGAGCTTGCCAGGCCTTCATCACCATAAAGACCTTTGCTAATTATTCTTACTGGGGCACCACTTAAGAGTCATGTGAACACTTAAGTGCCCACTTAGCAATGGCTGTCTAGTGGCCAAAAGTAGTTAATGCAGCTACCCAAGGTGCCTAAAATTACCCCCAGGAAACAGTTTTAACACTAGGAAAATCACCCTCACTCATGTAACTATCTAGCAATTTGAGGAAAGAAATCCATCAACTCTTCAGGGTACCATGATCATTTTTGTAATTTACCATTTGGGGCAGTAGCTAGCACTTGAATGCACCAAAAATGAGCCTAATTTTGTTTTGTGCCCCATCTCTCACTGCATCATCTATTACAAATCCAATTTGGCAAAAAGCATCATCTTAATGCAAGCATTACTAAGAAAAGAACAGACGGACACAAAGAAGAGAGAGACAGATGTACCTTTGGATGGAAGTTAGGTGTGGAACTTCATGCTACCAAAAATAAACAGTAATTTTGATACCAAAATTAGTCATGTAGAAGGGCATCCAAGGAATAGTCAAGGAACTCAAAACTTCCACAGATGTTGGAGAAATTGCTCACATAGAACTCTCTTCCTTCACACACGTAGCTTGAATTTGTTATAAATATTAAAGGACTTTTATCTGGTGTTCTGTTTTACTAGCCGAGAAGGTCAACAGTGACAACAAAAGTCTTACTTTTTTTTTTCAAGACAGACTTTGACACCTCAGAGGTCAGTTTTGTGCCTGACACAAGGTCTTCTTTACAGTAGATGTTCAGTAATTATTCTGTATTGTATAACATAAATTAACATTGACTCTATGTTTAGCACACTAAGTGCTCAGCACACTATCAGAGAACTTCCCCACAACAGTGCCTATTGCACATGAGGTTAGAAAGATTGCCTTCGTCTTACAGAGAGTAAAATGAGGTAACTCAGCCCAGATCACACTGCTGGTAAGCGATGGAGCCAGGACTCCAAGTCAGCCTCTCTAGTTCCTAGACATCCTAAGCACCATGTTGTATTTTGTGAGTATGATAAAAATCAGACATTCTAGCCATCAAATATTTGGAGAAGATTGCATGTGAATTGTGCTCAATCGTGAGATATGATGGTCCGATGTCACGTGGCTAGTGTACAATGTGTTTTAGCTTTGACCTTTGAAGCCAGCTTTACAAAGGATTACACTGTTCTTGAAATGTCGTTTCTGATCAGTAATTTAGGTGTCATATGAGGGCTTGTGCCTCTCACAACCCTCTGCCCTTTTGGATTGTTTGCTATTCAATTTACAAACTGGAAAACAGATCAGTGAAGGGAGGGGAGGGTGAAATAGAAAAGAACAGCGGACATAGAGGTTTGGCAAGTAGCTAGGCTACATATACCTACCCCACAACCACCAAATCATGCCCTGCTCTATTATACTGAGAAAAAAAAAAAAAAGCTCTAAATCATCTTTCTCTGGGAAGCTTCTTCATCATTAACATGAAGACAACAAGGAGAAATTCTTAAGGAGTCTTCTTTTTGAAAATTTGTTCCCTGGGCAACATTCATTCATCTCCCCCTCTTTGATCTATCTGCAAATCCTTGGTGCAGTCTGCTTCCTGCATCAGAACTCAGCACAAGCATATCATCCTATCACGGACGTTAAAGCCCCACTGAAAAATAACAGTGGAGATAAGAGGAAGTTTCCTTGATTCTTGTTCTAGGTTTTGGGTCCCTCATCACAGAACTATTCAGGCTTTGCCAAGATAAATAATGAAAAAAAAAAAAAAAAAAAAAAGCATTAGCCTGGCCCAAGAAAGTTGTCTTTGGAATGAGAGAAGAGTTTTCTCTATGCACTGTGCTCTCCTCTGTTTCAGTGTCTGCTCACCTTGTACTGTAACCATGTGATCTGGTAAGATGAAGTTGGAAAGAACTCAGCACAGCATGGTCGTTTGGGTGGCCAGCACTACTAATTCATACCAAGGCAAGGCGTCTCCCTCCACTTCATCGAAGATCAGCACACTAGTTTAGTATGAGGACAGTTTTCCTATCATTGAGGGGAAACCCACCTATTTCTCAATCATGCTCAGATTGGGTCAACCAATGAATATGTTTACCAGAGACTGGGAAAGATACAAGTTGGCAATTACTCAGCAGCCAATTCGTGAGAACAAAATGTTTATATCCTCCAAATTAATAGGTATCAGGGAGGTTTGACCCAACACCAGAACTAGGAATCAAGGACCTCATGAGCAACACAATACCAGGGACACCTGACCCAAGATGCTTCAAGAAGAGTCCATCAGGATTAACACTACCATGTTCTCCAAATGCTATTGGGTTGTATGAACTGACAACTCTGTTGGAGACAGTGTAAGAGCTGGCTTTGTCTCCAGAGAATTTTAACATGGCCTTTGTCCAAGAATAGTAGAAAAAAATACCTTGTATACTTGGATTCCCAACCCTCAAAGTGCCACCACTGGTCAAGCTAAAACAGATTACAGCAGATATCTCAGGAGTCACTCCTGAAGTTCTTAGGCCATCTGTTACCAAGCTGGCTGCTGCTGGCCAACAGAGGCTTCAACAATGTGGCTAAAAATAAATATAACTTAAAGGTAATAATGAATATTTATCCAATCAGGTGATATTGAGCCTCACACTTACAACACGTTCCCCCTAAATTACCCAGGCTTCAAAGATTCACAAATACTCATTCCAAAATCAAGTGCTATTTCAGTTCCAGCCAAGACCAATCTTATGGTGGCCTGCCCAATCATCACCACCACCTTTGAGAAGCAGTTCCCTTTCTCCAACCATTCTGTGGTCAAGCCTGGGGTTTGGTCACTAAGGCCCATGAATGCTTGGACAGGATGCTCAAACAGTTGGCACAGCTCATAGGAACCCCAGCAGTGTAATACAAGGGAGCGGCCACCAGTGTGTAGGAATTCTTCAACTTAATACAAGTAAGCAAAAGAGTTTGAAAAAAGTATCACTCTCAGGTGAACTGAAGCATCTCTTATAGGGGACACCCATGGTTCTTACAATCAAACAAAAATGACACAATGTTACAGACAGAGATGGATGCTCATTATATAAACCCCATGAAATTCATTGTTGGAATCATTCCATTTACAGGAGGTCAGGGCTCCCTCTCAAGTTCCTCTGAACAATCTGAATGGTCCCTGCCTTTGGTCTTAAAGCATTTAGATCTTAAAGCATTCATGTAGTTTCCCCAGAATTGAGGGAAATCAGCACATATGACTTGGAATTTTTCCAAGTTCACCTTTTTGTTTTCTTTCTTTTTTTTTTTTTCTTTGCATATTATCTACACAGATATAAAGAAAAGGATTGGAAGCTTCTTCGTGCCTCAGCGCTGACACTTTGCCTTTCTGCCTTACTTCTTGCTCTACTAAACCATTTCCAAGCAAAATTTCCACCTTTCAAGCCTCAGCCGGAAATCAGCAACCAAACGTCTTTGGGGGATATCAAATGCTGGGGTTTGGCAAAAACCTTTGCACGTCTGGTCAATTTGTTTTGTGTTGGAAGGACATTTAATCGATATCTGTCTTATTTGCTTACACATGTATCATCCAAAAGTCATTTTGAAAGAACCATTTCCCTCCCCGGAAACTTTTATACATCTGTTGCTGGATATATAAGAGATATTATAAATTTTCTTGAATCCAGAGAATGACCATTCAAATCCTCCACACATCAAAAGCTTCAGGAAACGCAAGATTTAGGACTGCTCTAAACATATAACATCGAACAAATTTTCCCATTGCTCCTAAGTGCATAAATGACCCCATCTCCTTATTTTTATAGAGAACAAAAGGCAGCTATTAGACAAAAGTGATGGTATTGACCAATGCCTAACCAACCAGTTTCCCAAATTTCTTAAATATAAAACTTTGCATGTTCCCTCACATCGCCAAGAAAGGACCAGTTCAGATTATAAATAGACAGAAATAATCCCATTTTATTCCCCAAGGAAATCATATTCTCAAAACTCTACAGTTTTGGCACAACATTCAGGCCCCATCTTAATCTACAAATATATTTCTGTCACGAAAAACCTACTTAAACTTTGTGTTTCAAATGAGAAGTATGAAAACTTAGAGCAATAAAGAACCTTACAGATCATTCAATTTGCCTTTCTTTCTGTTTAAGTGGGTGTCTAGAAATATATTAAGATTTCTCATAAAATAACAACTAGCATTCACTAACAAATTAAACCCAATGCACTGTATGAGCACTTACCTCCATTATCCTATCTAGCCTTCACAATCGCCTTATGAAACATATCCAATTATCACTTGCATTTGACGCAAAAGAAAACCCAGGGAATCATACTGCTTATAAGTGACCACAACAGGATTCAAATCTTCTCTGTCTGACACCACGGCCAGGTTCTTTACACCAGTCTGCCTCCAAGGAAAACAGTAACATAAACATATTTCAAAAACTTCAGAAAATAGGACATAAACAACGCATTAATCCACCCTAACACAACATGTTGGAACATTAGGTGATTTTCTTCTATGAAGCTCTCTCCTTACCTGTATAATATGATTGTCTTTATTACTTAAAAATGATTTTTATGAATATTTCCCTGTTTTCTTTTTTTTAATATGGTTTATTGTCAAGTCAACTAACATACAGTATATACAGTGTGCTCTTGGTTTTGGGGGTGGGTTCCTGTGATTCTTCGCTTACATACAATGACACCCAGTGCTCATCCCAACAAGCGCCCTCCTCAATGCCCATCACCCATTCTCCCCTGAATATTTTCCTTTTTTCCACTAACATCATACCAAATATTTTCCATGTTACTATAGAAACTTCATGACAGCTTTTTATTGGCTGCATAACATTTCACTGGGTAGACAACCATAATTTATTTAACTATTATCCATTTGATTTAGCAGTTAGGTTGTTTCAATGTTTCACTCAATATTAAAAATTTCACCAAACATCTTCCGTACATATATTCATTCTTAGAACATGCTTACAATTGATTCTCAGAAACAAAATCACTGTGTCAAGAAAGGAAATCTATTAATAGCTCTTACTAACCCACTATATTCCTTTCCAAAAACTTATACCATTATCTGAGACTGCCTTTTTTATCGCATCCACATTAGCATTAGACATTATCTTTTATGTGTTTGCAGTGTTTTAACAAGTAAAAATGAAAATGGCTATTCAGTGGTGTGTACAATTGCATTTCTATGATCACTAATGAGACCCAAGGTCTTCCATGTTTAGGGGCCTGGGTGGCTCAGTCAGTTGAGTATCCCTACTCTTGATTTCAGCTCAGGTCATGTTCTGGGCACTAGGTGCAGAGCCTGCTTGGGAGTCTCTGTCTCCCTCTCTCTGCTCGTCCCCTGCTCATTCTCAATCTCTCTCTCTCTCTCTCTCTCTCTCTCTCTCTGTCTCCCACAAAAAAGGTTTTCCATGTTTAAATTATTAGATGAATTTTTATAACTCTCATTTATCAGATGAGGAAAGAGAGACTCAACATAAATGACACAACTGGCATTAAACTTGGTCACAGGATCATTTTTTTCCAGTCAATATTTGTTAGTTCAATAAATAAATGAAAGAGGAAATGAAGACAAGAATGAGTAGCTCATTCCAAGTTCCTGTCACCAAGCACACTGCTTTCCTTACACGGCTCTGTTCTCTTCAATTCTACATGATTTTCTTTCCAAGCCTGCCACAATCGAGTAAGAATATTATGAGTTGTCGGCCCCCTTCAGTGGAGCAGTACCTCTGACATCATAAACAGAGTATTGGAACAACCTAAATAGGCCAGACTCAGTCTGGTTCTTACTCTACCTGTATTGAGTGGGACTCCGCACAAGGCACCTGCCACATTTTCCTTGACTATGAAAAATGAGCAAAAAATCATTTCTCAAATCTTTGCTGTTTCCAACTGATTAGGGTTATGAAATTGCCACATTGAGCATCAAAACAGATCATAATTACCCCTATACCCTAATGACACAAAGTCATGCCACCAAATAGTAAGACACAAAACATGATTTGAAGCCCCAGCACCTTTTCTCCCAGACCAACATGGCAAATCGGAATGCTTCCCACCAATCACTCATAAAAAGGAGAGATACTTAGCCAATCAGTGCCCAGTAACACTGCTTCCTGTGACTTCACATAGTCAGTGGATGGATTAATCCCTTTGTGTCTGAAAGGAAAGAATGTGACCTAACAGAATACAGACCTGGGTCAGATGGACTTGGATTTGAACCCAACCGCTGTACCTTCCCAGTGGGAAACCCTGGGAAAGTTACCACCCAACCGAGGCTTAGTTCAGGCTCAAATATCTGTAACATATGGATTAAAAATTTTACCCCCTTATGGAGTGGTTTTAAGCATTCAAGGTAATAACACTTTATAAATTCTTGCCACATGGCGTGCATTGTGTAACATGTTCCATAAAGGTCACCAGTGGTTGTTACCTTCACTATTAATTAGTAAACCAGAAGATATTCCTTAGAACCACATCAGGGAGAGTGACAAACGGACTATTTAGAGATGACTTGGCTGCGCCCTCACCGAACAAACTCTTTCAGCCCGTTACAAGTGGCCTGCTTCCTCCTTTCAGGGAACTCGGGCTTCGGTAGATGCTAAAGCACGGCTTTGGGGCATAATTTTCTGGGGCTGAGGTAGCTGCTCTCTCTCATACAACAAATACTTCTTGATGCTAAAGGAAATTTAATCTTTTGGTACTTAAACTGAGCCCTGAGTCCTGGACCCAATCTTGGCTCATTATCTCAGACTCCACCTGGCTCTTTGAACTGTTACTACCCTCAACCTTCCACTTAGGCTCCAGAACGTGGTTGCAGGTGTTTTCAAAGGAAACTGCTACAAGCTGATTCTGGAAACCCTCAGCATAATTAAACAGCAGAGATTCACTGAGAACCAGAGGAGCTCCAGGTCACAAATTGCCACAGTGACTGTTTACATGATATTTCACAGAATATTCATTTCTATTCCACAGAGGCAGGAGTATCCCTTTGTTAGCAAACATGCCTGCCTTCATCGCTTGGCCAAATTATTTCTTTGGATAATTGGGAGACGGAGAACTAGAGAGAAGAAACTTGGAGGTGCTTGCTGATTAATGATTAGCTACAGAGAACAGAAGGTCTTCTACTCAGTGGCAGAGGGCAGAGGAGGATAATAACAAGAAAAGTCCTCTTCGGTCTCACTGAATAATAGATGCAAAGGCTGCAAAGGGACTCGGTTGCCAGGGTTTTGTTGTCATTGTTTGGGTCTGGTCTAATTTGGTGTAGATTGATAGAGCTTGGTTTTGACTTTTTATTTGCTTTATTTTTGCCTACATGTAAGGACAGTGTCTGCTTCCATTAGTTCCCCTCCCACCTGCCTTTCTCTTAACATAGATGGAGCACCAGCATTTGGGGCCCTGGGTTAGGAACTTGCCTAGGTTTATTCTCAATTGCTTCTTTCCCAAACATGTTCAGCACAATAATGCCTACTTCGCAAAGTAGTGCTGAGGTTAAAGTAACTCGCTGAAGGAGACGGAAATAGAAGAACCAGAGTCAGGATTCATATGTAGAGCCTTCTTTCAACCTCCAGCAGGTGGATGCTCACATAAGAATAGGAAAGAAACAAGAACGCTGTTCCAAACTTCATATATCCAAGTCACGGGATTTTTATATCTACTCAGATATAAAGCCTGTACCCAGACTGGATGAGAGGGAGGAAATTCCCCAGAAGTCCAAAAGATGAGGGGTGAGTAACCCATTGTTGTGTCCTTTACAGTGGCCAGCACAGAGTCTAGGCACACGTTTCGTGTGTCAGAGCAGATTCATTGGCAATACTTGCCTGAAACCCTGTCTTGAGAAGGATTCTGGAGCCTCTGAATGGCTCAATGGAGAAGAGTTTTGTAATCATTTATTGATGGCTGCTATGGGAAACAGGCTAAGGGGGAGAGGCCAAAACAAAGCACGTCATATATTTGCCACCTAAAGGAATCAAAGCTGTTATGCTCGAAAAAGACCTTGAGATGTCCACTTATAAGATAAATAATTTCTTATGTATTCAGGGATATAATTTACAGCATGGTGACTACAGTTAACAATGCCGTGTTACATATTTGAAAGTTATAGTACACCTGAAACAAATATAATGCAGTATGTCAATTATATCTCAATAAAACCGGGAAAATAAATTAAATTAAAAAGAAAAAGGCCCTTAGGTACTATTAGGAATGGTGAGAAAGGTAATTACCTCCTTCATCTATTCATAAAGGCAACTCTTCTGCTAAATGCTGTTCCCACTCCCCAATACACAGTTCATGGGCCTCATGCCTTAGATCAGTCTCCCGCTCTCCGGCTTTTCAGCAAGTTTTTCAGGAATTTTACTCAGGGCAAGTCCTTCCTCCAGCTGAATTTCTAAAAAGTCACTTGCAAAGCAGAGAATAATCAGGGGAAGTGGGGAGGAAGAGAAACGTTTTTTCCAAGTGTAACACACAACACTACAACATGACTTTGACAGTCTACTGTTGAAATAGTTTTGGATTATAGCAACTCAAAGAGTTGGCCCCTTAAGCCAAAAACAAATGGATTGCATTTCTCTGCCCCACTGTAGACATGATGCAGGCTTTAATTCATTCAACAAACATCTATGCAACTCTTGTGGTTTCCCAATATTGTCTAGGAACTAAGGACACAAAGACATATGTTGACAGTCCCTTTTCTTGAGGAGCTCATGTCTTAAGAAGGCAGATAGCAAACAGAAAACCAAATTTAATAAGGTAAATGCTCTGATGGAGTCTGTCCCTGTTAGAACAGCGAGAAGAAGGCAACCTATTGTATCTGATGAGAAGAGCCAGGGAAGGCGTCACAGAGAAAGAGACCATAAGACCCACAGAACTGGGTCTTAAAGAATCACAGAAATTTTCCAGATGAAGAGGAAGGATGAACACACTGAGAGGAAGAAACAGCATGTACAGAAGCAGGGAGGGATGAGAGGAAAGAGGGAAAATGAGTTTATTTGGCTGCTATTTATTTTCCCCTCTTGGGAAGGGATTGGATGGGAACCAAATTGGACCAACTTATAATGGGCACTTCATATGGGTGGCGCAGTCGGTTAAGCGTCCGACTTCAGCCAGGTCACAATCTCGCGGTCGGTGAGTTCGAGCCCCGCGTCAGGCTCTGGGCTGATGGCTCAGAGCCTGGAGCCTGTTTCAGATTCTGTGTCTCCCTCTCTCTCTGCCCCTCCCCCGTTCATGCTCTGTCTCTCTCTGTCCCCAAAAAAATAAATAAACGTTGAAAAAAAAAATTTAAAACAAAAGGTGATATGTCACCTTTCTCCCCTGGAGTTCTGTTAAGTCCTCTGCTGTATGCCCAACCACTTTACCCTAAATACCTATAACAAATCTGAGAAAATAAAAT